GTTTTCTTGAAATGTGTCAATTAAACGTCGCAAAACTAAATGATCGTCTGATGACATTTTAGGAGCGTTGTGTATGTTATTCCAAAATTCAGTGGCCATTAACCTTTTGTTCTGGTATCTATCACGCAATGCCTGATAAGCAACGGGGTAGTTGCTCTCAGTCATGCGCAACGTTTTTAATAAATTGAGGGGTTGACCCTCGCAATGTTTGACCAAAAAACCGAATTTTTGAATTGCCGCCATGTTCGCGTCATTATGAATTAAACTATCATATAAGGCAATGAATGTCGGCCAATCTCGGTAATCGCCCTTGAAAATTGGTACATCAACCTCATATACTTTTTGGTTAGTGGTAGCATTAAATATTGTTTGGTTTGATGGGACAACAGGACTTTGAGCCGCTGTAGGAAACAAATCCATATATATATAGATTTTATCACGAAATATTTGTCGTCAAATTCTCGACGAATTTCGTCTTCATCCTCCAGAGACTTGTCAGTCATCTGTTGCGACCCAATGATTGCATGATGATGAGCTTCAAAATTCTTTCTAATGTCTTCAATTCCTTCGTAACGAGCTTTAAATTGATTTAACTTAGTAGAATCAGTGAGACAGGTCTGAGAACAATTATAAATTTCAGTCAAACGACTTATAAAAAAACCTCGAGTGGCTTTATTCTGACCTAAAGATTTTGCCATTATAAAAACCTATCGAACACTACGCAGATTCAGAGAGAAAAGCGATATTACTCAAATAATAATAATGATAATAAAAAAATGAAAACCAAACTGTTCCGAGTTTCAACTAGACCGAAAGAAATTCGACAAAAAAGTAAATAAATACGCCTGAAGCTCTGGCCGTTCCGATATTGAACGTTAAAACGAAACAATATTTGAAACCGAGATCCAGTCGATTGAAATCAAATGCGAATCTGTATATATAAAAAAAACGTACTGATCTTTTTGTGTTGATGCTAATGGCCTTCATACACAAAAAAGTAAAGGAATAAACAGATTTTTCGCAAAGCATAGCACGTAATCGTGAATTTCAAATTGGGAATATTGATTGCACAATAATAAGATAAAAGTAAGTTCTTTTTAATCCGGCTCGAAGGACCAAAAATGTTTTGTCCGCGCGGAAACGGACTTTGGCCGCAGCTGGCACAGCAAAAAGTCGCAAAAATTACTCAAGACAGGATCAAAAGATTTTTGATTACTTAACTGACCCTACCTCGCTTTTGGTCTTCCTTCCGGAGGGGCCGGCCCGTGCTGCGTCCTCTGTGCCTCGAGTGGTGAGGAAATTTGTTGATCACCACGCGCATGACCTGATGCGTTCAACGGCACTTTTTGAACCACACGATGAGAGCGACCGATTTAGCGCTTCACCGTGATTTTTAGTGGAGCATGCGCCTAAGGGCGCTGGCGGGTATAGATGGCCAGTTAAGTTCAAGAATTTAATACCGCGAGGAAAGGAAGAAGAATAACTTCTTGGTGCTGTACTCGCGGCCAATCGATAAGCTATAGGTTTATATATATAAATTCATAAGAAGTCGAAAGATAATAAAATGAAAACTAAACATACATCATGTCTTTTTTTCAATCGGCCTAGCCATTCATCGCTTGCAGAAAAACTTTCAGGCCCTTTAATGACAATCTTTGCTTAAATTCACTGCTTTTTGTTTTAAAATGATAGTCGAAATTGGTATTCCACTTTCTCGATTCTGTGTAAACCATAAAAATAAAGAATCTTTTCGTATTCAACACTCATATTTTTTCTAGCCGAGATCCGCGATGACAAACTTCAAACTTCACTACTTTTCAAGTTTTTCGCGTTTTTTCTCCATTTTGCATCTAAATCCTATACATTTACGCAATATTTCAAAATAAAACTACTCTTTTTGAGATAATAACAGACGTTATTACAAACTTGCATACTATACTTTTCTACGACCGTTAGTTTTTGGGTATATTTCCGCAAAACAACACGAATTCATTTTCTGACACGACCGTCAGAATTGACAACCGTCAAAATTCAAGGCGTGGGAAATATCTCCGAAAACATCCGATTGTTCCCAAACCCGTGTGGTAAAATCGCGAAAATGCCCGAAGTGGCTCGGATCCGTGGGAAACGAGAGAAACTGACGTGGTAAAGTGACGCTTCCCGTACACTACATCGGTGTATAATTAGGAATTTTACAGAAGGGAGTAGAAAAAATAATTTTGACAAACACTATAGTTCTTGTAATTTTTTTTATTTTAAATTTTGCTTGATATCCTTGTTGCCAAATTTAATTAAAACTTCTAGAGATTCTCTTTTGCAAACTCGTATAATTTTATATATGCCATTTCGGAAAAATGAAGACCAAATGTTTACATCAAATATCTGATATTAGCACGCTTCAAAAAGTATAGAACTCTATATTTCAGAAAAACCGATAAATGCACAAAACCATTCTACCTGTTAGAGCCAGTAAATATTTATAGGGAACAATTTTGTTGTATTTTTTAGAATAAGGGGAATTTCAGTTAAGATGCACGTGTTTTTTCTCAATCCTATTCAAAAGTCAAAGTTTATGATTTTCCTGATGGTAACGATCGGCCTGGGGTTGAATTTATAACTTATCACTAATTATCTATCTTTGTTATGGTGCATACTTTTTTACGTTACTTGTTTTTTTACTAATTTGGTGAGTTTACTGAATTAAAGGGTTGTGTGTAAAAATACTGCCTTTTATTTCAACGAATCGACGTGTTGCTGAAACAGGTAGTTTTGGTGAAGCGACATATTTTAGTGGCGACCGGACAGTGACAACACCGTGAGAAAGTTGTATCAAGATGTGTTATTCGAGTATTATGACCAAATTTTTAAAGAATGGCTTGACGAGGGTATTATCGAAGAAGTTTATGACACGAACCCACCTGAGGCCCACTACCTACCACACCGGCCGGTTATCAAGGAGTTCCGCAAAAGAAAGGCAAAAACCTTCTCTAAATCAGTGCTTAGAAAAATGTTTAAACCTCATAGAGGAAATTCCCAATATTTTGCTAAGGTTGGCTAATAAAATTGGGGTAATATCCGACATCAAGAAAGCCTTTTTGCAAATTAGCATGAATGAAGCCGATCGAAATTATCTCCGATTTTTATGGGTCGATCAAGACGGAAGCCAGAAGATTTTTCGACACCGCAGAGTCGTATTTGGTATAAACACTAGTCCATTTTTATTAGGGGCTACATTAGAATACTATTTGAACAAAAAATTAAAAGAGACTGAAAATTATTCCCTAGAAACCGTCCAGCGATTATTAAAGGGTTTTTATGTCGACAATTATGTGACGAGTGTCGAAGATTTGGAGAGTTTAAGAAAGTTTATCGAAGAGGCGTCTGTGATAATGGCTGACGGCGCTTTCGAGTTAAGAGGGTGGGACTATACAGGCCAAGTGCAACTAGAAGACAATTATAAAGGCACTCCGGTATTTGGTATGACATGGGACACCACCGAAGACACATTAGGTGTTAAAATTGACCTGGAGCACCCCGACGAACTGCTTAGTAGGCCGGTGACAGAAAGGTTTATGTTGTCATTGACTCAGAAAATATTTGACCCTATAGGATTTACCTGTCCTGCGACATTGTATCCTAAGGTTTTACTTCAACAGACTTGGGAAAAATCTATAGGTTGGGATACCCCGGTAGAGGAGGAAATGGCAAATAATTTTCGATTGTGGATCAAAGAGCTCCCCTTTTTGATGGGTATAAAAATTCCAAAATGGACGGGTGCAGGATTTGAAGATGCCAAGCAGTGGAGTATACACACGTTCTGCGACGTTAGTAAAAGCGCGTTTTCTGCTGCAGTTTTCCTTCGAGGCATTAGACACAATGGACGGGTTTTCGTACACTTACTGACAGCCAAGTCAAGAGTAGCACCATTAAAGAAATTATCGATATCCAGACTTGAGTTGATGGCTGCTGTTATTGGTGGGATCCGTTTATTTAATAGTGTTAAAGAAAATTTAAAGATTAACGCTGAAGAATTTTTTTGGACTGACTCTTCTACAACTCTACACATACAGGATACAGCTCGAAGAGGAATGGGCTATGTTTGTCTGGAATCGGGTGGAAGAAATACGAAAATCAACTTCAGCTAACGATTGGCATCATGATCCAGACGATCTAACTCCGTTAACACCGATGATGTTTTTAAGAGACCTGAGGGAGGGAGCTGTTCCTGATTTTGATGACGCTAACCCGAAAACTCTTTGCAGGAAAATGTTACATAAAGCCAAGTTAAGAGAAGACCTGCAAAAAAGATTCTGCAGCGAATACTTGCGACAGCTTCAACTGTTGCAAAAGCGTCAGGGAGGTCGGCAGATAGCGGTGGGAATGAATGAATGAATGAATAGGGAATGATCAGGATAAACGCATAAATTAGCCAATGGGGAGAATGGCTTAAGTGATACGTGGTAAAGAAAACAAGGTTCGCCTGGTCAAGGCTATCTCACGTAAAGGCCAATACTTACGACCCATACAGCGTCTTTATCCATTGGAGTGTTCAGAGCCTTCCATTTTCAACCTGACGAGTGACAGATCGACACACCTTCAGTAGAACAACGAGACCAACAACGATCCAGTACCTTCAGCAGCAGTAAGTGAAAGTGCGGAAAAAAGTGTCGCGAATTCGGGAGTGATTGAAAGCAAAGTACCCGCAAAGAAAGTGATAACGGGTAGTTTTGGTGACGCGACACTACCTATGTAATTAAATAGTGTATTTTGCATGTACACTGCAGTAATATGCAAATATATTCGCCATATTCTCGGTTGCAACTAGTTTCCAACTATTTTTATAGCCGTATGTTTGCGCGCTGACTTAAACGTCATTCGTGACTCATTTTGTGCGGTAATTATAGGTACACTTTAATGTAATCCCTTCGTTTACTATTTTGTGACGTTGCTTTTTGACGGATTTTTATAATGTTCGCTTTCCTTTGTTTTGTTTTTTTCAGAAATACGTCGGCAAATCAGTTAATGTCTTTGGGAACGAACGGTGTATACCGGCCGCCGATGCGTCGGCAATAATTAGTTATTAATTATGAAGGTTTCGAGGAAAGATGATATAACCGGCGCAAAAACGTCGTAAACAAGTTCGACCCAGCTCTCGATGGCTTGGCAAAAAAAAATCGTTTAGAGTTGCCGCCGCGTATGATTTCGCGTTTAAATCGGCCGATGAACGTCATCGTTTAGCAATCTGTCATAATTAAAAGTTACTTATTGATGTCGATTTTGTTGTTTACCTGGGGCCAACGAGGTTTATTCTTCAGATGGTGACGAACTGCATTAATCTGGTGGTGGCTTGTATACCTTTCTACATCCTTTATAGGTGTAAACTTAAATTTGTTAGACACAGACCACGCAACTTTTCTTCTATATTGCTAGAAAATGTGGCTGGTTAACAAATATTAAGCTTACTGTTTGTTGGCAAATTTCATTTAGTAGCGTGTTTTGGAGTCCATATTGCAGATTCTACACACCACAATTTTTTTTAAACTGGCTAGTGGTGGGCATATGGAATTTCACCTGTCTGTACGCCACTGATTTCTTTCAAAATAAAAATTATTTTTACATTCTCCAATAATTTCTAAAGAAATTAAATTTCTTGATTTTTTTCAATCCGATTTTCAATTTGGTTTTCGCTTAAAAAATAAGTACGTAAACTTAAATAAATAAAATAAATTATTAGGATGTTATTTCATTAAAACTACAAAGGTAGAAAGAACAGTCTTCTAATTTTTTTTTCCTGAAGCACACTAATTGGCAACTAAAAACTAGATATTTTGCTTTAGATTTTATTTTTCACACCACTGATTTGCTTAAAAAAATAATGACATTTGATCTCTTAATTTTTAATGGTCCATCGCAAGGTTTTCGCTTAAAAATAAGAACTAATTTCTCTGCATGCTGTCATATTGAGGATATTGATTTTTTTAAGCGACAACCTTACATCGGATTGCGAAAAATCAATAAATTAATTTTCTTTATTTTTATTTGAGATTGTAACAATAATTTTTATTGGAAGATAAATCAGTAGCGTGCCATCAATGTCTGCCGAAATAGAAAGGTGAAATTCTGTACGCCCGCCACTGGTGTACATTTAAAAAATTGTGATAAACTAAATAATGCTTCTTGATACGTGGTACATGTGTACTAAATTTGATTAAGACATCTAAAACGGTATTACAGATATTAAAAAAATATATCTTATTTTTGAATCATCTTGTTGGCTTCTTCAGAGCTTGACTGAAACTGAAGAAGTCAACAGGATTAGCTCGAGTCAACAAAAACCGAGAGAACCGGAGAAATCCAGAAGTTTTATAAAAAGTATTAGAGTAGCCTGTGGAAGTTTCTTTGAAAAATTTACCACCCTGTATTTCAAAAGTTAAGACGTTTAGGACAAACACCCTGTATAAATATTTATAATTAGATAATAACGACTTTGATTGTCATTTTCAGTTTTTAAAGAGAAAATTATTCAAATTTTTCAAAATTTTAAATCCATTTAAATTTGAGAATTACAAGGGAACTATCTATTAGTTAAGGGTATTTACTAAATTTTTAAATTGGGTAAGTTTGGATATATTGCCTTCTCTGCGCTCAAGATAATTTTTTATATTCAAACAAATATACCTATAAAAATAAATATCAAGATGTAACAAAAACATTAGTTATTCAAGACGAGCTTATTTTTTATTACAATTTATAAAGTTCCTTTGGACTTTTACAACTAACATTGTAAAAAATCCACTACCTGAATTTTCAATAGAACTACTACAATAATAAATTAAAATTGAAATATTTCACTAGAAGGCAAGTAATGTTTACCGAACTGGCGAGCAAAAAATTTAGGTTGCTCAAGAAAATTCAAATATTTGAAAAAAAATTTATGACTGAATCGATCTAGCAGGCAGTGGATTATTTGATTTCCGGCAAATGGAGATATTTGTTATCTGTCAGTTATCGATAGCGTAATTTCTACTTTTTATGAAATAACGTTAGTTCGATCTAATTACAAATTCGTGCATAAAACTTATGATTGTTTGGTGTATTTTTGGATCTAAGGTGTATTTACCTGGTCATAATGCCTTTAGATCCTATTGTTGTGACTAGAATTGTAGCATTAATGGTCAAGGAAAAAGGGAAACTGCAAGAATTGTTGGTAGGAGTCTATGTGCTGTACAAAATGTATACCAACGAACGCTACGAGGAGACTGACTTGATCAACAAGAGGATGATTGATGTTTAGTGTTCGCAAGTTTACGGAATAGGACAGCTTTTGCTGTTTGGCTTCGAAATGTTATTTATTAGCGAATGGACGGTTAGAAGAAGGCTTTGTCCCAATGGATTGTTTTAGGGCTGCTATTGCACCGACGGGATCGAAATCACTTAGATTGGATTGACTCAGACGGAGTATGTAGGAGACTCGGAGAAAGATATGCTCCAGGTTGTATTGATGAAACACGTCCACATGGTGCTAGTTCGATTATGGTTTGGACGGGAATCAGTTCGGACGCACCCACAGAGTTGATCTGGCATTACGGAAATCCTGAAGGATCATCACTTTAACACTCACTATGGGCAAAGACGGCATTTCTATGCAGGATAATGCTAGACCCCTCACCGCCAGAATAGTCGAGTGACTTTTCGCCTGTTGTAAAGACCTGAAATGCAGTTAAGATTATTTGGTTCCTTATACAGATTTTTGGATTTTTCGTTGGTAGAACAATTGACTACATGCAAGAATTTTAGTTTTATCCAATAAAAGTGGATGTCCGGTTTGGTGAACGTGTTCGGCAACTGTTGATGCGTTTATTTGTGGTACTCTTAAGGCTCTTTCACGTTCCTTGAGCCTAGTTCGGAATCGTGTCTTTGACGGATCGAAGATCTTGAGAGATTTTTGGACAAGTGATAAATCTGGTTTTGGCGTTATATTTCTTAAGAACTTTTGATATGTGGTCAGTGATATTTTGAATGTAAGAAGGGATAACCGAGGCAAGTGTGGCGTTGCTTTCGGACTCATTGTCTTCGGAAGGATGGGGTGATGCACCTTTTGTTGTGGTCGTCAAGATGCAATGCCTGCAATAACTGTAGTTTGTATGGCTTCATATGTGGATGATGTTTTAGAACTCGACATACCGTTATTTGAAGAATGTGCGAATACGTCCCGTCCTTTTTCCTTTGCAGATACCGCCATCTTCTACGAATTTTTAATGCCACTCGTAAATTTGTTTATGACGCAGTGGTTGTTTATTAAATCGATGGGGAAATTCTCACTGAATTGCATCCTGCAAATAAACATTAGGGTCAATGCTGCCGTAATTGGCACTTTTGCCAGGGTAATAATAAATTTTACACTTTTCTCTATCCATTATAAATAAATGTTTGAAATTTGCTCTCTCTTTTTGAATAACGCTGAATTTAACGCCCAAGGACACAAGTCTATATGAATTTTTGGCTTATTTTTATATATCGGATGCGCTGCGAAAGTTTCCCCGATATAGTTCGTACCATCCTGTATACAGGGTTTTTTCTAATTGAACTTCAATAATTATGGAGGCGATTTTTGGGTCCATTTTAAAAAGAAAATTTCATATGAACATATGTCCTAAACGTCTTACCTTTTGAGATATAGGGTTGTAAATTTTTCAAAAATAAAATATATTTTTATATTCTCCAGATAAGCGAACATTTTCAAATGTACATAGAAGGTTGACTGCAACGGGTACTTTGAGGGCAAACAAGCATTTAAAAGGGACCCATCAGACTGTAAGAACTGCAGAAATCGAAGAAGCCGTTTAAAATTCTATTGACATTGATTAACGATGGATATATCCCGCGTTATATATAACTCACCAACCATGGCCCCCCAGGTCCCTAGAGTTAAATAGTTTGGACTTTTTCTTATGGAGACAACCTAAAAACCCAGTCCAGGTAACACTGTAGAAGAGCTGAAGAATCGTAAAAGAGCTTCTTGCGATTTAATAAGAAACACTAGAGGTACACTTAAAAGAGTGCGCGGCAATATGAAGAAAAGGTGGATGATGCTTTTAACACCTAATCTGGTTTTTATGTTTTACTTTTTTTCAAAAAAGTTGTTATTAATTTATTAACAGACAATTTTGTTAAAAATTATTAATAGTAGGTAGTGTATTTTTGAAAATAGCAATGGTTTATTATTTATCTTGTTGTTAGGGTGTTATGTTATCTTATTAAAACTGCAAAAGTAAAAAGAACAGTTTGCTATTTTTTTTTCTAAAGGACACCAGTTGGTAACTAAAAACTAGAGATTTTATTTTATTTTATTGAACCAATATATTATTTGTTCATAGACAGCCAGTGATTTCCTTAAAATAAACAATGATAATTGCATTCATTTATAAGCAGATTTTTTTTTATATTTTAAAGCGGAAACCCTATATCGAATTGAAAAAAATCAAGAAATTAAATTTCTTTGGAAACGATAGGAGATTGTTAGAATAAATGTTAAGAGAAATCAGTCGCGTAGAATCAATGACTGACAAAATAGACATATGAAATTCCGTACGAACGCCACTGGCGTATTAAAAAAAAAAAGTGGTACACTAAATAACGCCTCTGGATACATAGAACATGTGTGCCAAATTTCATTAAAATGTCTTAAGTGGATTACAGATATTAAAAAATATATTTTATTTTTATTTCAATAGTTAAGACGTTTAGGACATACTAAGTTTTCTTTTTTAAATGGACCCAAAAATCGCGCCTCTTAATTATTGATATTCAATTAGAAGACACCGTGTACTGCCCGCCGTAGAAGCCAGAATGAGTCGATGCGGCGGTGACCTCACTTCGAAACAATTCGCGAGGTATTATAATAATTATTACTCGGCGAAAAACAAACGCGTCCGCGCGGTTACGTAACGTGATGGATCTGTTTTGATCACCGACTCGCGAAATAATAATAATAAAGCGGAACGGTCGGAATATTCATATCCAAATCGGCGACGTATATGCAAATCCCTCGATGACGCACTATGACATTCCAGAAAAACAAGCGTCTCTCTGCCCATGTTCAAAAGCGACTCCGCCACTTTCTTGTCGCGCCTTTTACGCGACACTGATCGGTCAACGATCGCGCGAAAGCTTTCTACACCTCGACGGATTTCGTCGATATCATAAGTAGATGGCATTGTTTGCACCGCCACAGTTTTCGTAGAATTAATATATCTACGCAATCAATTTTTTAGCTATAAAAAGGCATAGATAAATTAGAAATTTTATTCGATGTAGACGTTACGGTTATCGCAGTTATTTTTAAAGATAGAGTCGCGGTTTACCCTGCCTTTGTGTGAAATTAAAGATGATGTCGAGAAAATGATCATGACCCTCTTGATTTTTGAGACACAGAGTGAAATCCAAAACCATCGATTTTGAGACAACCACATAAGACAACGAAGTTATTGGAGAGTTTAAAAAGCATCTTGTGGCGTAGTTTGTTTTTACTTGCTCTAACCACTTTTTAGTTATGGAGCAAACATATATTTTTTAAATGTTATACCCTATATTTCATTTTTCTACACTAATTGTTTGTAGCAATAGGCCATAGTATATTAACTAAATAAATTAAAAATAAGATACATCTAAGCAGTTATTAGGATACAAGAGACTTACTTACTTAATTTCGAAAAAATAGGATGAAAATATATTTTTTAAAAATAATAATTTCTTATTATTATGATATATATTATGTTATTATAATGTTGGCTATGATTCATAAAAACAAAAAAAAATGTGTCTAGAACTTACGAGACTGTTAGTTTTTAATTATATTTTTATTACTTATTCATTTGTTCTTTCTCTGTTTGTTTCATTTTAATTAATTTTCTATTATAATGACAGTAAATGAAAATTCTGAAATATATGCAAAATATGTTTTATATAATGCAATCAAAATGCCCAAGAAGCTTCGGAATTATATTACCACGGGTAAGGTTTTTAAAAGCATATAGTCATAATTTTTATATTATTCAAATGTGTTTTTTTTATATTAGATATCCATAGAGGTATTGAGTATTATTAGTAATATTAGTTTTTTTACTGGTTTATTTGGCACTGCAACTCAGGCAATTTGGCCAGCTTACAAATATTAGTAATTTTATTCAAAATTCCTATGATATAATTCAAAATTCCTAAAGGATGCCTTGCAAAAAAGTACTTTGACCGATAGTAAAAACCTAGAAATTCTTGAGAAACTCATTCCAGAATTACTCGAAGATATTCTCATAGTATATTATAATGGTATATACCTTCAGCAAGATATGTGCCTCCAGTCATAACTTACATGACTACTTTCCTCAAAAATGGATAGGTACCAAATTAATTTAATAATTATAATTTAGGTTTTTTTTATGGAGATATATGTAAAATAAAGTAATAATAATACATGATACGAGTCTGTAGCAAAACTTCGAGGAGCAATGGATTTAACTTTCGAAAGTCTACGAAGGAGATAAATAATTCTTTCAAATCGATAGTTTTGAATTTCACTCTATATCTCAAAAACCAAGAGGGACATCTTTAATTTCATAAAAAAGTAGCAAAGTGTAAACCGCGTAAACCGAAACTTTATATCTTAAAAAATAACCGAGATACCCCATAAAAGTGCCCATTTTAAGGGAGTTATTTAACCTTCATTTTACGCGTGTGTTGTAACAATAATGTCAAAATTTGCTTTGTTTTTGTGAGAATAATAGGATCTTAAAAGTGAAAAGCTATTTTAGTACAATATTATTATAATGACTGATAGTGAAAATGCGGCAGCGGTGTGAATTTTATAATAAAGGTTGCGGTTTGGATTCCGATTTATGGATTTGCAAACAAATCGACTTGTGTATTCATAGGCATGTACATTTATGTTATGTTACTATACACCCATAATATTGCTTTAAAAGGTCCAAGTGAACTTGCCCATTCACTGTATTTTCGAAAAAAATGAGACCCCACAACGTTATATTCTTCAAACATTCTTCAGACAATTTTTCCTGACTGTGTGTCATCATACAATGTTGGTAACATAATAGTGAAAAATGAACGTGCTCAAAAATTTTATAATAATTTTCATTGCATGCATCTTACTTTTTCACAGAACTCTTAAATATTAGTAAACCTTAGGACATTTGTCGTACAACGTAGGTTTTATGTGACACTCAGTAATACTTGAAATTCATTTTCCCTCTTCACTACAGTATGGTGGACCATTTCTATTCATAAGCACACTTCCACACTCAAGAGTTCTTTTACAGGACCGACTGCCTTCTATCGGGATATTGTTGGTTAGTAAATTTTCCTAGGTAACGTACGTTTACAGATTCATGCACATAAAAAAAATATTGTGATTCAGCATGTCAAATCACTAAAAAACCAACTCAAAGGGCGAAAATTGCAGCGAGAGAAATCCTCCCGGCAAACAATACATTTTCTTGAAGAAAAATCATAGAACAGCGAACAAGCCCTATCCAAGGCTTGACTTGGAGTAACTTAAAAAACTGGGCAACCCCATTGTAAATTTAACATTCCGGACCAGTCAGCTATATGTACCGGTCATTTACAAGCAAACTTGAAATGATATTAAACAAAAAGTGGGTAAACATTATTTTTATATTGTGGTTGATGAAACAAATGACTCACGTGGGAGATACATTTCACGCGCATTGACTGGAGTATAACCAGATTTATTCAAAAAAAATTAACCAACTTTTCTTCTTTCTGACAGTGTTCCGACAGAAAAATCCATACTTTAAGGCAGCACAATTTTTTTTAATTCTAACCTATTTAATGTTATTTCTTTGCCCCATGGTATCAATGGGAAATTTTAAAAAACAGTTATCAATTGATTTTATAACTGCAAAGAACCGTTTGTTAATTTACGAATGGAATGTTGTGAAGTTGCGAATAATATTTTGTCACTGCAAGATTTTTATATTTTAAATTTTATGTTTTACAATTTGTTGTGTAAGTATGAATGAATAAAATTATTACGAATTTTTGTTTTTTTTAATTTAGGTGTATTCAAATAAGTCTGTGATATAGGCAAAAAATTATTGGATTTCTAACGAATGAGTTTAATTATAAAGAAATAGTTCAGGCTTTATTTAAAATAACATTAGTTTTCATAATTTTTCATATCATAAAATGCATATTGAATTTTCTGTCCATTTCAATGCATATTTTCTGAAAATTCACGTTTTTCGCTGGCATTTTTCCACTTTTTAGTCATGACAACAATGGGAATTTTATGAATGACTTA